CAATGACTTATGGATAGAAAATCCATACTAAGTAATTTACTACACTGCAGTCTGTCTTTAAGTCGAATTTGTACATAAGTCAGAACATCAGTTAATCAAATGCTTGTCTTAATATAAAGTATATACTATACATTTCTATGCATAAAAAACATTAAGGAAACATTTCCAGGTACATTAAAATGTCTTAAAGATAATACCATAATGATAATAATAATGTCTTGATGCCCATTGTAAAGTATTACAAATATATAATGTCCCTTGAATTTTTAATATAATAGGCTTTATAGAGGTTGGTTTGTAATTACGGGTTGTACATAAGTCAGACGTTCATAACCTGGTGACTGCCTATATCAAGGAGATTAGTATGGCAGGAACAAAATAGATTAGACAGAGAATGCCAAGATATGTGCACAGAGAGGAAGTGGGAGGCCTGTCCATATGGAGTAAGCCCTTAGCTTTTACTCTGGAATGGAAAGAAGCCCCTGGAGGGATTTGAAAAGAAAAGAGTGTCATGATCACAGCACTCTAGCCATTTTGCTGAATAGATGGTAGGAGGCATAGCAGAAAGAGATAAACCAATTTTTATGAGTTTATAAGAAAAATATAAATGAGCTGAATCCAGCAACATATACAAAGGATTATTTATACACTAGGACCAAGTGGGGTTTATCCAGGAATGCAAAGTTGGTTTAATATCTGAAAACCACTGAATGTAATACACCATATTAATAAAATAAAGGGCAAAAAATCATATGCTCGCCTCAATAAACATTTATTGAATAAAATTTTTGACAAACTTCAACATCCTTTCATGATAAAAACCAACAAACTACTAAAAGAAGGAAACTACTTCAGCCTGAAACAAACAAACAAACAAACAAACAAAACCCAAACCCACTGACATCGAGTTGATTCTGACTCACAGCAACCCCTATTGGGTTTCCAAGGTTGTAAATCTTTACTGAAGTACATTGCCTCACCTTCCTCACATGGAGTAGCTGGCAGGTTTGAATCGCTGACCTTATGGTTAGCATCCAAATACGTTACCCATTATGCCACCAGAGCTTCAATCTGATAAAGAGCCTCTTTCAAATACCCACAGCTAACATCAAACTTAATGGTGAAAGACTAAATGGTTTCCCTCTAAAATCAGGAAAAAGTCACTCTCACTACTTCTATGCTACATTGTAGTAAAGGTTCTAGCTAGGATAATTAGGCAAGAAAATAAAATAAAAGGCATCCACAGTGTAAAGAAAGAAGATAGAAAATCCTAAGGAATTTATTGTATTTCTTGTAATACACTTGTAATCAACAATCTGAAATGGAATTAAGAAAGATAATTTCTTAATTTAATTCTTAGAATACTTCAGGAAAAAACAAAAGAAGTGTAAGATTTTAAAACAGAAAAACACTGTTGAAAGAAATTAAAGACCTAAATAAATGGAAAAACATCCATGTTCGAGGACTGGAAGACTTAATATTGTTCAGATAATAATATTCCCCAAATTCATCTCCTGATGCAATAAATCCCTGTAAAAACCTGTTTTGCAGAAATGACAAACTGATTCTAAAATTCACATGGAAAGTTTACATGGAAAGTAAAGGGACCTAGAATAGTTAAGAAAGAGACTCAGGATAGTTGAAACAATCTTGAAGAACAAGAATGAAGTTGGAAGACTCACATTTTCTGATTTTAAAACTTACTACAAAGCTACAATAATGAAAACAGTATGATACTGGCATAAGCAGAGATATATAAACCCATGGAAAAGAATTCCAAGTTCAGAAACAAACCCATGTGTCTATGATCAACTGAGTCTCAACAAGAGTGCAACTACAATTCAACGGGAGAAGGAACAGTGTCTTCAATAAATGGTTCTGGAGAAACTGTATCTCCACATGTGAAAAACTGAAATTAGACCCTTCTATTTCACATCATATACAAAAATTAACTCTAATAGATTCAAAACATAAATGTAAGAAGTAAAAATATAAAAATCTTAGAAGAAAACATAGGGGTGGATCTTTGTGACCTTAAGTTAGGCAATAGTTTCTTATATATAACACTAAAATACAAGTAACAAAAGAAAAAATAGAGATATTAAACTTCATCAAAATCAAAGGATACCTTTAAGAGAGAGAAAAGACAACTAAACAGAATGGGAGAAAACTTTGCAAATCATGTGTCTGATAAAGAATTGTATTCAGAGTATACAAAGAATTCTTACAACTTTGTAATAGAAAAACAAATAACCCAATTAAAAATGGGCAAAGAATATGAATAGATATTTCTCCAAAGAAGATACATAGATGGCCAAAAATCATATGAGAAGATGATCAATATCATCAGCCATCAGGGAAATAAAATCAAAACCACAATAAGATACTACTTCACACCCACTAGAATGGCTATAACAAAAAAGATAGATGATAATAAGCATTGATGAGCATGTGGAAAAATCGGGATCTTCTTACACTGCTGGTAGGAATAAAAATGACGTAGCTACTTTAGAAAACAGTCTAACAGGTCTTCAAAAGGTTAAACATAGAATTATCATATGACCGAGCACATCTACTCCTATGTATATACCCAAAAGAAATGAAAACATATCCACCACACAAGAGCTTTATACAAATGTTCGTAGCATCATTCATTATTCATAGTAGCCCCCAAATGTAAACAAGCCACATCTCCATCCATCCATGAATGAATAAATAAAATTTAGATCCATGCAATGGAATATTATTCAGTAAAAAAAAAAGAGAGAGAAATAAAGTACAACATGGATAAACCTTGAAAATATTACACCACTCCTCATTTATCACATGGCTAAGTTCCAAAGACCAAGTTGTTATGCAAATGTTAGGATTATGAGAAAATGGAGCATGACCACATCAGATGCCAAAATAGAGGATGTCTACATCATTATATAACTGTCAAATTACATCATAATATAACTACCAAATTTCAGCATTACAAAACTGCCAAATTACATAATTACGTAACTGCCAAACCACTGAGAATCATGGCCCAGGCAAGTTGACACATAACCTTAACCATCATAGTTAAAGTTACTCTCTCCTTGCATCCTGGTGTTTGTTACTGCCAGACTACTCCATGAATGAGCAAAATAGTTGGATAGTAGATTTTTCCCTATTGTCATAAAGGTGAAATGTAGTAATGATATAGTCAATAAGTGAGGAATAGGTGTACACTAGTGAAAGAAGCCAGTCACAAAAAGACCTTGTATTGTATTATTTCAATGATACGCAATGTCTAGAATTGGAAAATCTATAGATAGAGAATGTATTAGTGGTTGCCTAGGGCTGGGGGAATAGAAGGAATAGAGGGGTGAGTGCTAAAGGTAGGGGTTTCATTTTTAGGTGATGAAATACTCGAAAATTTACTGCAGTGACAGTTACAGAACTCTATGAATATACTAAAAACCACTGAATGGTACACTTTAAAGATGCATATGGTATATGAATTATATCTCAATAAAGTTGCTACCAAAAAAAAAAGGAAAAGAAAAGAAATTCTTTATCTTTGCCCTTGACTGGCTGTGTAACTTTAGGAAAGTTACTTAAAATAAGTGCTATATAATTTATTATATTCTAAGTTATCACAAAGATTGCTGGTGGCACAGTGCTTCATTGCTCAGTTGCTAATTGAGAGGTTAGTGGTTGAAACCTACCAGCTGCTCCATAGGATAAAAGACTTGGTGATTGCCTTCTGAAAAGATTTACAGCCTTGGAAACCTTATAGGCAATTCTACTCTGTCCTACAGGGTCACTAGGAGTTGAAATCAACTTAACAGCAATGGGTTTTTGAGTTTATCACAGAAGCCACTGAGAAATGCATAACTGATAGGACACAACTACTCTGAAGTTATCTTCTCTTTGGAATAATTTTAAGTACATTGTATTCAATGTGATTATTGTTAGCTGCCGTCTAGTTGGTTCCAACTCATAGCAACCCTGTGAATAGAAACATTGCTCGATTCTGCCCCATCCTCACAATGTTTAAGCCCACTGTTGCAGCCACTGTGCCAATCCATCTTGTTGAGGATCTTCCCTTTTTTTCACTTACCCTCTACCATTCCCGATGTCCTGCCGCAGAGGTTGGTCCCTCTTGATAACACGTTTGACTATGTGAGACGACGTCTCCCTATTCTTGCTTCTGAGGAGCACTCTTGCTGTACGTCTTCCAAGTCAGAGATGTTTATTCTCCTGGAGAGGTTATTCAAGAGAACAGAAGAAAAACAAAAAAAAAAATGTAATGAAAACTAAACCACTCATATAAATCATTTGGCAAAGCCACACATTTAGAAGAGTGATAATACTTCATAAAAGATTCTCTAGTGTCCAAATCTGTTTTGAATAGGTCATTTTTATATAGTGTTGGAAAACAGACCTGTTTTTAGTCACTTCTCAGCATCATTTAGTTTCTCCTTCTGTGAAGAGAATTAAGTAAATGAGATGTGTACGTTAAACTCTGTAAAAATGGGAATAATATTATTTACCACTGAGGCAAATGGTACCGTGAGACTTGAATTGGACATGCAAGCGCTTAAAATCAGCCTATGCTGATTCTTTTTTTGCCTATAAAGTTAAGGTCTAGATCGGTTCTGGACTCTCAATTCAGTGCTCTTCCCTCAGGACCTTGTTCTGTATTTGCAGGTCTATGTTTATGACGTGAATTTAAAAAATACTGTGGCCCTCTCTTTATTGGCATTTTCATCTAGGGAACTGCGGGAGAGTAGAAACAAAGTACGTCTGAAATCTCAGGGATCTTAATTTTTATCTCGATTTAATGTCCCCGCCTCGGACACCGAGGGGTCGCTATGAACCCGATCGGTCTCGATGGCATAACGCTGCTGCTGCCCAAAATGAACGTCTCGCGCCTAATTTGACCCTTAAAGCTTCCCATTCTTTTCTCCTCAGAGCGCATGCGCAGGAACCCGGTGAACTTTCGTCTTTGCGCTTTTGCTGCTTTTACAATGGCGGCTCGCGGCGTGGCACTGTTGACCCGCGTCCCCCTATGTGCCCAGGGAAGGGGGCAAATCCACCGTCCTATTCAAAGGCTTCTCAGTTGTCCAGGAACTGTAGCCGCCGACCTAAAGAAAGAGGATCAGCCATCTGGGAACGTGGAGACAGGTGATGGCGCCGTGTGCTCGGTTTTCTTTTCCTGGACCCACAGCAGGCGAGGGAAGCGGGGAACACACTGAGGTCGCGGGCGAATGTGTGGCTTGTGAAAAAGGCGGTGGAAACTTTGACAAGAGTGTGAGGCTGCGTCCTGGCCGCTTCTTTTCTCATAGGGGACCCTTAGGCCTGCGCCGTTGCTGATCAGTAATATTTTTTACTAACAGGGAACATCCTGTCTCATAAATCGCAGTTTTGTTTTGGCTTTACTTGTTGGGAAATCTTTATAAGAATGCAATTTCTAATTTCTTATTTTCATCTGTTATCTTAGTTTTGCAATAGCTTTCACCTAAGCGTCCTTTAGCTTGCTGTAGTAGAAAGAGCTCTGATGTAGAATAAGCATGTATGTATTACTCAGGACTCTTTCAGACCCAGATGACAGAAACAACGCAGATTAGCTTAAGTGGAAAGGGAAGATGTATGGGCCCCATGTAACTGAACTCCAGAAAGAAGAAAATAATGCTGCCTTAGGGTCAGCCAGATCATTGTGCATAGTATGAAGAATTGTTTCTTTCTTCAGCTGTTGTTTGATGGCCTCATTATCTCAGGTTCTTCCACATTGGAGGTGGTTGTGGAGGGGGGTAGGCTTGGCCACTAGTTGATCTATGTGCACATGCTTATGGTTTTCTCCAAATAGATGAAGAAAATAATCTTTTACCTGAATTTGAAAAACTCTAGGGAAGCATTTTTAATCTATCATATGCCCACCATTTGGAGGATATAGTATTCATAATAGTATGACAGCCCTGGCCTAGCTAATGGCATGCAATAAGTGGGATGGGTAGGATAACTGCATTGACAGCCCCACCACAGCTATACTGAGTGATTTCCTGTAACCAGGGATGCACTGTTACCAAAACAAGAAGAACAGACACCAGGCATGCAGACAGTAGGTAACAATACAGTGGGCTTCCCAGTTTATTAAGTATTTGACCGTGTGCCGTCTTTCCATCTATAAAATTGTGATGACACCTGCCCTATCTATCTCAAAATGTTGTGAGGTTCAGAAGAAAGTATATATGTGAAAGTGTTTGGAAAACTATAAAGTGTTTTATAGTTATATATTTGATGATCTCATTCATATTCTCATTCGTCTTTTCCAGACTATAACTCTCCATAGTAATTTTATATCATAGTTTCTAGACTCTTCATTATTGTTACTGTTCTCTGACATTACCTGGTTAATTATTGCCCTTCATATCCATCATATACAGAGTAGAGGATTAATAACTACTCCATATGTGGTCTGACCAGTAAGTAGTAAAGAATAGCTATTACCCCTTGAATTTGGATTTTTTAAAATAATTGTATTAGTGAAGCCTTAGATGATATATGTATTCTCTCCCAACTGCTACCCCAAAAGCTAAGACATTCTGCAGTGCTGTGGATCACTTTTATTTTCATTTTTTTTTACTGTGATTTGAGTGAAAGTTCACAGAGCACATTCATTTTCCATACAGCAGTTCACACACACTTTGTCTCATGACATTGACTGCAATTTCCCACAGTGCAGCAGCTCTTTTCCCACTTTTTCCCCTTAGTCACTTATTCCCTGTGTGTGTCCTTCCTTCCCATGCACTCCTGTACAGTTGTCTTCCTGTACATACACAACCCTAATATTCTCCCATTATTGATCTCTCCAATGAGTGTATCTACCTAATGTAAATGTTCAGCTCATATGCCTATATTTTTTTTTGGCTGGAAGCCACAGGAGTGGGTTCAATTCCAGATCTGAAAGACAGCTAGGGGCCATAATCTCAGTGTATCCACCAGGCCCTATCATGCCAGCAAACCTGGTCCCTTTCTTATTTTTTCTTAAATGATTTTGAGTTTTGTTCTACATTGTTTTCCCACTCTATCCAGGATCTCCTACATAGCTCTCCCCTCTGAGTAGCCAGGCACCATCTAGTTCTTCTGGTTTCATAGTTGTACAGGCTGAGAATTGCATGGTGTACCAGTCCTTTGAACTAATTGTTTCCATGCATCTTTGGTTTTCTTCATTCTTCTTTGCTCTGGATGAGAAGCGATCCAATGTTGCATCTAGATGGCCGCTTGCAAGCTTTTAAGATCCCAGTCGCTACTTGCCAAAGTAGGATGTGGAACAATGTTTTTGTGTAGTATATTATGCCAATTGAGCGTGTTTTCCCCTGGGACCATGATCTTGAGCCCACAGGTCTAACTGTTTGTTTCCTCTTGGTGGCTGGCTATGGCCAAGAAGTGACTACAGCCTGTCCCTTGTCAGCTCTCCTGTATACCTAGAAATTCTTATAGAACATACAGATACACTTGTGGAAACATTGTCTGCCAACCCTGTACATGGTCATGGGCACACTTCCACCTGCATAAATACATCTAATTGTTCAGCCTGTCCAACCATCCATCTGTCCACCCATGGATCACTTTTATGTGATCTTTCTCACCATAGCCTTATAACTCCCACCAAATGATTGGGCAAACTCTCAAATAAAGTACTTGTGCCCCAGCAGTGGGATTAGACAGCTTGCTAATAATGCAAATAAGGACCACGTGGAAGTGGACCATGTCAGTAAGGTATATGGAACCATAATGAGGGGATTGGTCAGTTTTGGCATCCTGCTAGGCTTAAAATGAACCATCCTGGAGGCAGAGGAGACTTCACTACCACCAAGAAATAATAGCTGAGAATGGAGCATGTCCTTAGGAACCTGAGGTCCCTGCACCAAGAACCTTCTTGACCCAGGAGAGAGAGAGCAAGCTGTAATACCAGAGATGGTAAGAAGCAGCAGCAGACCAGGAGACTTGACATGAGAGGGCACTATGGGCTTTCTGGCTCATGTAGTGAGGTGGCTGCAGTGGAGATGACAAAGCATAGAGGGAGAGAGCTGAGTACCTTTGGGCAGGAGGCTTGCTGGCAGAGTGATGTGCCTCTGGACACTTATGGCAGAGCTAAAAGAGCTTTCTAACACTTGGCCCACGCAGAGTAGAGGTGAGATTGAGAGGCGAAGGGCCAGAGAGACTGTTTATGGGTACAGCTGAGAAGAAGCTGTCCAGAGGGGAGAACTGTATCCTGAGTCGTTCCTGATCCTGAATTGTAACCTGTTAATTTCCTAATAAACCCTATAACTGACTATTGTCTGTGAGTTCTTTGTGGCCATTGCAGCAAATTATTGAACCCAGTGGAGAAGTAGACAGTGGTGGGAGGGATAGCTGGAGTCAGAATTGATAGATAGTTTGGAGATAGGAGGTATGTCTGACCTCTGCCTCATGAGAATCAGCACTGGGCTGTTGATTGTGATTCTCCTTCCACCTTGTGAAGTCAGATGAAGAAGTCAGACACTACTGCCACACCATTTTTGTGCATTCTTTTGATTCATTTTGAGCTTTCATTGAATCAAACTCCTAGCCTCTGAAATGAACTGCTAGATTGTTGTGCCCCCCCCACACCATTATGTGTCCTTTTTTCCTTAAGTTGTAAAAGCAGACAGTGTTTACTCTTAATTTTTCTTGTGTTATTTTATGCCTCAACTGTTGCTCTATTACAGGCACACCTTGGAGATTTTGCAGGTTTAGTTCCAGACCTCTGCAATAAAGCAAATACCGCTATAAAGCAATTATTGCTATAAAGCTAATATCGCAAAAAAGTGAATATTGCAATAAGGAGAGTCACGTGAATTATTTTGGTTTCCCAGTGCATACAAAAGTTATGCTTACACTACACTGTAGTCTATTAAGTGTGTACTAACAGTATGAAAAAGTTTGGAATATTGTGAGAATTAGCAAAATGTGACACAGATGCACGAAGTGAGCATAACTGTTGGAAAATGTCACTGATAGATTTGCTTGAGGCAGGATTGCCACAGACCTTCAATTTGTAAAAAAAAAAACCCAGAAAAACACATTATCTGTGAAACAAGGTATGCCTGTGTATTGTCAAGACCATTGCAAATCTGAGTATGTCATAAAATATTAGTGCATATTCCTCTCAACTTAGTGTCATTTATAGGTTTGATAAGCCTTTTGTAAGGCAATATACTTAAACTACCACAGCTTTCTTCCCCTTCTACACAACTTTGTCATGTCTATATTATTACCTCTTGCTGTTTAGGCCAGAATTGTCCGTGCTTTATTCTCCCATCTTCTCAAGCATGTTATTCCATCTTTTATCAATTTTTCTGTCTCAGTCTCAAACTCAATTCCTGCTCTTCCCTAACAATTCAGCTGCAGGAAGACAAGTTGCATAAATGTGTAAAAATATTGTATATAGATGGTAGTGCAATATTGTTTGTAGTAGTGAAAAAACTTGTAAACCACTTAGACATTAGTAGGGGGTTGGCTACTAAATATTAGTAGGGGGTTTATGCTAAATCTAAATACATAAAGAATACTTACATAATTGTTAAAGTAAATGAGTTATTGACTCACATGGAAAGATGTCCCCAATATATAAAGTTTTAAAGTATATGTCATAAACTAGACTGTATAGTATGATTTTAATTATTTCACTTGTATAAATTTTCTTTTTTTTTATGTTTGGAGAGATACTTACGTTTTTATTTGCTCTGAAAATACCTGGAAAGGTAAGTCCCAAAACCTAATGGTCTTCAGTATGGATTACACCTCAACATAAAGAAAATGAGAATCCTCACAGCTGGAACAATAAGCAGCATCATGGTAAATGGACAAAAGATTAAAGGTGGAAAAGATTTCATATTACCAACACCCATGGAAGCAGCAGTCAAGAAATCAAACGATGTATTAACTTTGGATAAATGTGCTGCAAAAGATTTATTTAAAATGCTAAAGAGCAAAGACTTCTCTTTGAAGACTAAGGTGGACCTAACCCAAGCCATGGTATTTTCAGTCACCTCATATGCATGTGAAAGGTGGACAATGAGTAAACAAGACCGAAGAAGAGTTGAAGCTTTTGAGCTGTGGTGCTGGCGAAGAATACTGAAAGTACCAAGGACTGCTGAAAGAACTATCCTGGAAGAAGTGCAGCCAGAATGCTCCTTGGAAGCGAGAATGACCAGACTATCTCACCTACTTTGGTCATGTTGTCAGAAGGGATCATTCTCTGGAGAAGGATATCATGCTTGGTAAAGTGGAGAGTTGGCAAAAAAAAAAGGGGCAGGCCCTCAACTATATGGTTTAACACAGTGGTGGCAACAATGGGCTCAAGTATAACAAGGATTGTGAAGGTGGTGCAGGACTGGGCAGTGTTTCATTCTGTTGCACATAGGGTCGCTGTGAATCAGAGTTGCCTTGACGGCACCCAACAACAACATTATTAGGGAAAGAGAACTGGGGGAATATTTATACTTTTACTTTATGAAATTTTATACTGTTCGACTTTGCTTTTAAAATAAGCAGATAGATCTCAGTCTAGACTCAGAATTAAAAAGCAATCAAGAATAGATAAGTAGTAATTACAACTGTGTCCATGAGTTGGGAGCTTAAGATGGCAGCTAAGAACAATTAAAACTGTAAAAACAGATGAGGTCCTCTAGGCTTAGCATATAGCATAAGAGAAAGAAATAGGGATCCATTGGAAGAAAGTCTATCTGTAGACAGAGATTAAATAAGAATATTCCCTATCCTCATTATGGAAGTCATTGATGTTAAATAAAACAACACAGCGAATTGAGTCTTTTATAGATGTTTAAAGTGAGGCAATACAGAGGTTGGAAAGATTAATTTATTCTTAGAGAATCAAAAGTCTTCACAGACCTGAGCCACAATTTGGCGTGTGAATGGGAGTTTCTGCACAGAAAATGGAAGATGAGCATTTCAGCCAGAGGGAATAAGAGTTCATAGGTGTATCATACAGTACGTAAGTGACAAATGCAAAAGAAGAAAACAGAATTTTGACGTTGAAGGGGGAGGTGGGACCAGATGACCAATGCTGTGCCCATTCTGTAGAATTTAGACTTTATGTTGAAGACAGTGTTGAAGAAGCTGTTGATCAGTTGGAAACAGGGAAGTTTAAGAATATGACTTTTTTTTTTAAAGATCATTTTATAAGTTTCACTTTGGCAATAATGTATAAAGTGGCTAGAGAAAAACAGGACTAGAGTGAATGGGCCCTGTTTAGAACACAGGCTATTGCAGCGATGATAGTCCCAAAATCAGAGTCTGAAGTTAAAGAATTGGCATGAGGGTGCATATTTAACAGAGATGGTTTTAGTACTGAGTATAGCCAGCATAGAAAATGTGCTTAATACATGTTTGATCAGTTGTTCAAAATGTTGAGTCGGTCTGCGCCAGAGAGTTTAATTAGGACAGAGTTTAGTGTTCAGCCAGCTTCTACTGTTCCTAACCTCCGTTTCTTTTATCTCATTCATGAGAACGTCTAAGAGTTTGCTAAAATCAGTATATAGCATTTGGAGTATCTCTTTGACCTATCACTTTTTTAAAATAAGTTTTTTATTGTGATTTCGCTGAAAGTTTACAGAGTAAATTCACTTTTCATACAGCAGTTCACATACACTTTGTCTCATGACATTGACTACAATTTACCACAATGCAACAGCTCCCCTCCCACTTCCTCCACATAGTTATCACTTCCCTGTGTCTTTCCCTCCGTGTGCTCCTGCTCCCTGAATTGTCTTTCTGTACATACACAGCCTTTCTGCTCTCCCATGATTCTTCTCTCCAGGGAGTATATCTACCTAGATAAATGTTCACCTCATATGCCTGTCTTTTGTTTGGCTGGAAGCCACAGGAGTAGGTTCAATTCCAGACCTGAAGAGCAGCTAATACCTGGGAATTCTTACAGAACATACAGATACACTTGGTAGAAACCCTATACTTTTGACATACCACTTTTGTAACCTTTTGATAGAACATGAAGCTAAAAGTCTCAGCTGATTTCCATGTATTACTTACATTTTCTATTCTGTTTAATCGCTTTTGAGTAATTGTTGAGGGTATTGATAGCAGCTTTGCTAGTTTATCATTTCTGGAATATAACATTCTACAATTTTAAAAGATACACTGAGCTCTTTAACCCACCCAGCTAGATGTTAAATATCTTGATGGAAAAAAACTGTTGCTGAAAGTCAGTGTTTGGCTTTAATTATGCTTTTAGAACATGAATGATTTTTTCCCCTTATTTCTAGTTCACTAGTTGATACTCCTTTGTGGCCAGTGAATTATGAAAATTTTATTCTTTCCTATCATAGCTCTGTTTTTCATTCCCTGTGATTGTGAAGTCACTAACCCCTGAAGTGGTTTTTAAATGAAAAAAAAATTACCCTCTGTTTCCTTAGTAAAATTATCATGACCTCTTCATGGGCAGCAGCTAGGTTTTAAATTTTTTGATTTCCCTGTGGTGCAGCCACATGATGGTTGATACTTGTCAGTTGTTTGAGCCAGATCAAGACCTCTGACGAAGAGAAGTTCTTACAGTAACTTCCTCTTATAATTTAAACTTTTAACTCATTGTCTAATTACACTCATATTTGCAACAATTTCTTTAAGGGTTTGAAATGTTACAATTTACACAGATTGTGTGTGTGCATTTTTGGAAGTGTTAAATGAGTATTTTTGTTCTTTTACTTTTAAAAGTTTGGTGAACCTCTTCGTTTTTTGCACTATCTATAGTCTAGTAAAACAAAACAACAGAAAGACATTTCTAGTTGTGGGAGAATGGTAAAATGAAAATTAAAAGTAGTATAGCTTAATTATAAAGGAAGAGAAGAAGGATAAAATTAGGATGAGGTTGGTTTTAGTTAGATAGAAAATCTTTGCATATGCTATCAAAATATGCTTTAAATTTTATGTGTGTGTGATGGCAATGTTTTTGTTTCATTCATAGGCTCTGAAGACAGAATTCTCCAAAAGAGATTCTCTGAGGTACAAAAAGAAAGACGAGAACAGGCTCAACGAACTGTTTTAATAAATTGCCCAGATAAAATGAGTGAAAAAAAGTTTCTCAAATATTTATCCCAACATGGCCCTATTAAAAATCATTTCTTCTATGAAAACTTTGTAAGTATTTGAAGAGCAATTTAACTTAATATTCATGCTTTTGAAGGATAAAGATCCTCAGGTTTTTTTGTTGTTGTTCTGTTGCCTCTTTGCAATATGGAGAAATACTCTTTCTTTTGAGATATCTTATTTAAATTCCTTTAATGAGTTTTTTTGGACATCAGAGTAGAAATCCTCACAGCAGTACTACATAGTTAAAAGTATTTTATAACTGAATGATTCCTTTATTGGAATATTTTAAACAATTGAATTGTCTTAAAGGGGATTTTTGTTTTGTCTTTTAATTTTCTATTTCATTGTTCTTTTGAGTTTCTCTTGACTAATATGTCTTTATTGTATCATTTTTTTAATCTAGTTAGTAATGATTAAAATCCATGCTTGTGGTAGAAATGTATCATTTGTAAATGAAAAAAGTGAATATTTTAAAGAATATGGTAATGAAATGTGTTTTTTTTCCTTGTGTGTTTGATATAGGGTCTCCATGCTGTTATAGAATTTTGCCAAAAGGAAAGTGTAGCTTCACTGCAGGATGCAGCTTGTACTCCAAGCCTGCGCAGAGAGGCTGCAATTCCATTCAGATCGCGTTTCTTCAATTTAAAGTTGAAGAATCCTTTAAACCAGACTTCTGAACAGTCTTCCATACAGTGTTGTAATCAATCACCTCCTTCAAGCAAGAAGCTTTTTGAATTACTTTGTTATGCAGACAGTGTAAGTTTATAGGCTTAATTTTTCAACATTTAAAAGTGTATGTGTCTGTGTATATAACCAAAAAAAAAAAAAAAAAAAAAACAACCCTATTGCTATTGGTTTTAACTTATGGCAGACTGTGTGTTACAGAGTAGAACTGCTGCTCCATAGGATTTTCTTGGCTGTAATCTTTACAAAAGCAGATTGCCAGGCCTTTCTTCCACAGCAGTGCTGGTTTTGTTCAAGCTACCAACCTTTAGGCTAGTGGTCAAGTATAAACTGTACCATCCAAGTACCCTTTATGTTTATATACACACATACATACATATGTGTGTGTTACTATTTTATATATTATAAAAGTTCATATTAAAATCTCCAAATCATTCAGAATATGTTGTATGAAAACTGTAATTGTCCCTGCCCAGCCCCATTTGTATTCCAAGGTAACCGTATCCTTCCAAAGTTTTTAGTCTTTGAACTATTCAGATTTTCTTTATCTTTTCAACATATTGACATAAAATTTTATATAATATTCTTTTAGACATTTTAAAAATACTTTTTACTGGCTATAATTCCTTTCTCTGTCTTAATACTGTTTGTATTTATCTTGACTGTCTTGCTCAGACTTGTCAAAAATTTAGGTAATGTAGTCCTTTCAACCAATCAGTACATAATTTTACTTATCTAAATTATTTTTTGGTTTGAATCTTTATTTTTAAAATTTCTGCTTCTAGTCTTGTATATTTCCTTTACTTTTATTTAATATTTTTCTTATATGCTTAGTTTAGTTATTTTCAATGATGTTTTCAAAGAAGAGTGTTTGAGGCTTTGATTTTTCCTTTAAATACTCAACTTCAGTGCATGATTTCAAAATATGATCTAATACAGATCTTCTAAGAATGTACAGGATTGTTAATCTAAGGAACAGAGATCTTGTGCCTTAATTGCTTGCATCATTGCTTGTTTTAGTGTGTCTTATCCTTTAACAGGTTTTTTTTTCTGTTTTATTTCCTACTTAGTATAAAATATCTCATTTTATGGTGGTGGTTTTGACCTCTTCTGGAACATTTCACTAATTTCATTTTCCTAAAACACTTCATTGTTTAGGAAAAGAGAACATTTAAATTCTAACCAACTTTCATTTTGCTAGTGTTACTCCTCTTTCTTTTCTTAAATTATTTTTGTTGTTGAGAATACACACAACAGAATGTACACCAATTAAACAGTTTCTACATGTACAATTCAGTGACATTGATTACGTTTTCCTTTTCTGAATTGTTCCTCCTCCACTAACATAAACTCACTGCCTCTTCAGTTTCCTATCTAGGCTTTCTAGTTGCTGTTGTCAGTCAGATCTCATACAGATAGATCTTAAAAGGCCACATGCTCAAGGCAGATTTTCTTTACTAGTTAAGCTAATTGTTATTTGGTTTTAAGAAGACTTTAGGAGATATTTTTGGTTTAAAGGTGTAAAGATTATATCAGGGCAATATTTTTTGGGGTTCTCGCAGCCTATTGGTTCTAGAAAGTCTGGATTCCATGAGAATTTATAATTTTTCTCTGCATCTCCCCCACCCCCTTTGATCAGGATTCTTCTGTAGAATCATTGATCACAGTATTCAGTAATGGTAGTAATGGACACCATCCAGTTCTTCTGGTTCTCAGTGCTTTTTTAAAGGACATTTTAAAAAATGTGCTTTTAACGTTAAAGGAAAAAGGGGCATATTTTCAAGGTAAGTCTCCAAAGCTATTAAATCTTTGGAAGTAAAATGACAGATATTTTATGTGACTTGTACATTTTCTATATTTCAGTTTTTGTTTTTGTTTTGCCCAGCTAGATAGACGATCAGCTGAACACACTATTGAAGGAATTCCAGATAACAGAAGAGAACGCTAAGCTACGGCATCTTACCTGTTCTCTTATTGAAGACATAGCAGCTGCATATTTTCCGTACTGTACCATCAGACCCTTTGGTTCTTCAGTGAATAGTTTTGGGAAATTAGGATGTGATTTGGACATGTTTTTGGATTTAGATGAAACTGAAAGGCTCGCCTCTCAAAAGGTAATTATATTTTCATAGACCACTATGATCATTTCAAGTTAAGAAATTAGGAAAATAAGGGAAATTTTTGAACTTCACAAAATATTAAATGATGGTTTCTAAACTTAGTAAATATTGTGGTTAAATAATAGAGTCTTTTTATATATGTGGGTAGTAAAATGGGTATTTCTTCTCAGTGTTCAGAAGTTTTTCAGTTAGTCCAAGATTGCTTATTGTGTTATTTAGATAATCTATATCTTTATTTTTTATGTGTGTGCTCTAGTTACTGAAGTGCTTTAGAAGCATGATTTCTTAATTTTATTTTGGTTTCAGTGAAAATGTATAGAGAAAATTGGTTTTTCATTCAGCGACACATACACATTCTGTTTCTTGACATTAACTGCAATCCTCATGCTGTAACAGCATTCTTCGCACTTCCTCCCTGTGCCTGCCTCTTCCCTTTGTTCTTCCTTCCCATCCCCTCCCATCTTCCTAGTTCTGTCCCTGGGCAAATGCTGTCCTTTTGATCTCACATGCTTGATTGTTCTAATAAGAGCATACCAGAAAAAACAAACAAACTCACCACCAGTGACTCATAGCAACCCACTTTGGGTTTCCAAGGCGATAAATCTTTACAGAAGTAGATTTTACAGTCTTCGTTCCTGGAGTGGCTGGTAAGTTTGAACCATCAACCTTCTGATTAGCAGTCAAATGCCTTAGGCACTACGCTACCAGAGCTCCCTAAATGTATTATAGAAATGCTTAAATGTGAAATATGGTATATAACTTATTACAAAGATTAAAAAACAAAAACAAAAACAACTCTCTGCCATTGAATCAGTTCTGAGTCTTAGCAGCCCCTATTGGATTTGGATTTCCAAGGCAATACATCTTTACGGAAGTAGATTGTTCGATCTTCCTTCCACGGAGCAGCTGGTGGGTTTGAACTGCCTACCAGTAGTTAGAGGAGCTCTGGTAGCATAGTGCCTAAGGCACTTGACTGCTCACCAGAAGGCTGGCGGTTCAAACCCACCAGCCACTCCTTGGAAGGAAGGTTGGGCAATCCTACTTCCGTAGTGATACTGCCTCGGAAACCCAAGGAGGGGTCGCTATGAGTCGGGGCCGACTCGACGGCAATCAGCAACAACAACAACAACCAGTAGTTAGCAGCCAGCTGGTTTAGGCACAGTGCCACCAGAGCTCCCATGACAAAGATCATAGCTCCTTAATAAGAGCATAAAATCAAAAAAACCAGAGCCACTGCCATCAAGTCGATTCTGATTAAGAGACTCCCATTGCGTTTCCAAGGCTGTATATCTTTTTGGAAGTAGATTGCCTCATAATGTTTCTGTAGTGCAGCTGGAGTGTTTGAACTGCCAACCTTATGATTTTGAGTTTTGTTCTACATTTCCCCCCAACTCTATCTGAGACTTATCATTGTGATCCCTTTCAGAGTGGTAATAGTGGTAGCCGGGCACCATCCAGTTCTTCTGGTGTCTGGATCATGGAGGCTAGGGTTCACATGCTCTGTTAGCCCTTTGGACTAATTGTTTCCTGTGTCTTTGATTTTCTTCACTCATTGCTTCATATGGGTAGAGACCAATAGTTGTACCTTTGATGGCCATTCACTAACTTTTTTTTTTTTTTTTTTAAATTTTATTTTGATTTGGGTGAAGATTTACAGAGTAGATTCACTTTTCATACAGCAGTTCACAGATATTTTGTCACATGTCATTGACCAAAATTTACAATGCAACAGCTCCCCTCCCACTTCCTCCCCATAGTTACCTCTTCCCAGTGTCCATCCCTC